TCCCACCCCAAAACCGCCAAAATTCTGCCTAAAAATCCCCAAAATCCCTCCCAAAAAACCCCAAAATTCTGCCCCAAAAATCCCAAAATCCCTCCCCAAAATCCCCCAAATTCCTCCCAAAAAAACCCAAAATTCTGCCCCAAAAAACCCCAAATCTGCCCCAAAAAACTCCAAAATTCAGCCCCAAAAATCCCCAAAATCCTTCCCAAAAAAATCCCAAATCCCAGCCAAAAAACCCCAAAATTCTGCCCCAAAAATCCCCAAAATCCCTCCCAAAAAAATCCCAAATTCTGCCCCAAAAATCCCCCAAATCCCTCCCAAAATTCCCAAAATTCTGCCCAAAAATCCCAAAATCCCACCCAAAAAACCCCAAAATTCCCACAAAAAAAATCCCCCAAATCCCTCCCAAAATCCCAAAAATTCCACCCAAAATCCCTTCCAAAAAACCCCAAAATTCTGCCCCCAAAACCCCAAATCTCCCCCAAAAAACCCCAAAATTCTGCTCCAAAAATCCTCAAAATCCCACCCAAAATTCCCAAAATTCTGCTCCAAAAATCCCAAAATTCCTCCCCAAAAAACCCCAAAATCCCTTCCAAAAAACCCAAAATTCTGCCAAAAAATCCCCAAAATCCCTCCCAAAAAAATCCCAAATCCCTCCCAAAAAACCCCAAAATTCTGTCCCAAAAATCCCCAAAATCCCACCCAAAAATCCTCAAAATCTCACCCCAAAAACGCCAAAATTCTGCCTAAAAATCCCCAAAATCCCTCCCAAAAACCCCCAAAATTCTGCCCCAAAATCCTCAAAATCCCTCCCAAAAATCCCCCAAATTCCTCCCAAAAAAACCCCAAAATTCTGCCCAAAAATCCTCAAAATCCCATCCCAAAAACCCCAAAATTCTGCCCCAAAAATCTCCAAAATCCCACCCAAAAAACCCCAAAATTCTGCCCAAAAATCCCCAAAATCTCACCCAAAAAACCCCAAAATTCCCACAAAAAAAATCCCAAATCCCACCCAAAAAAACCCAAAATTCCCACAAAAAAAATCCCCCAAATCCCTCCCAAAATCCCAAAAATTCCACCCAAAATCCCACCGAAAAAACCCGGGATTTTTTCCGGGATTTTTTCCCGGGAATTCCGGAATTTTCCAGGAATTTTTCTGGGAATTTTGGAATTTTTTGGGCATTTTTCTGGATTTTTTCCCAGGATTTTGGGAATTTTCTGGGAATTTTTGGGGATTTTTGGGGATTTTTTCCGGGATTTTTTCCCAGGAATTTGGGAATTTTCCAGGAATTTCCTGGGAATTTTGGATTTTTGGGGATTTTTTCCGGGATTTTTTCCCAGGAATTTGGGAATTTTCCAGGAATTTCCTGGGAATTTTTGGGGGATTTTTTCCCAGGAATTCCTGAATTTTCCAGGAATTTTCTGGGAATTTTGGGGATTTTTTCTGGGATTTTTTTCCTGGAATTTGGGAATTTTCTGGGAATTTTGGGGGGATTTTTTCCCAGGAATTTGGGAATTTTCCAGGAATTTTTCTGGGAATTTTGGGGGATTTTTTCCGGGATTTTTTCCCAGGAATTCTGGAATTTTCCAGGAATTTTTCTGGGAATTTTTGAATTTTTTGGGGAATTTTTTGGGATTTTTTTCCTGGAATTTGGGATTTTTCTGGGAATTTTTGGGGATTTTTTCCGGGATTTTTTCCCAGGAATTTGGGAATTTTCCAGGAATTTCCTGGGAATTTTGTAATTTTTTTTACGGAATTTTTTGGGATTTTTTTCCTGAAATTTGGGAATTTTGGGGGGATTTTTTCTGGGATTTTTTCTGGGAATTCCGGAATTTTCCATGAATTTTCTGGGAATTTTTGGGGGATTTTTTCTGGAATTTTTTCCCAGGAATTCCAGAATTTTCCAGGAATATTCCAGGAATTTTGGGGGATTTTTTCCCAGGAATTTGGGAATTTTCTGGGAATTTTTTTTGGATTTTTTCCGGGATTTTTTCCCAGGAATTCCCGACTTTTCCCTGAATTTTCCGGGAATTCTTTCCCTACCTTGGCTGATGTCCAGGGGCTCCCCCCGGCTCCAGCGGTGACAGCCCAGGTGATAAAAGTGCAGCCCCTCCTCGTAACACTTCTCCTCGTGGTAATGAGTGTGCACATTCCCACCTGAAATTCCCAAAAATTCCCCACAATTCCCAAAATTCCAGCAGCTTCCCGGGAGGAGAATCCCAAAAAATGGAATTTACCCGGCGAAAATCCGGCTTTTTTTGGGGAAAAAATGGAATTTTGGGGGGTTTTTTATGGGATTTTTTAAGGGTTTGGGGGATTTTGGGGAATTTTTGGGAATTTTGGGAATTTTGGGATCATTTTCCTGAATTTTTGGGGAATTTTTGGGGTTTTTAGGGGATTTTTTGGGACTTTTTGGGAATTTTTGGGGATTTTTTGAGGATTTTTTGGGAATTTGGGGGGGATTTTTTGGGAATTTTGGGGGGATTTTATGGGAATTTTTTGGGGATTTTTTGGGAATTTTGGGGGGATTTTTTGAGATCATTATCCCAAATTTTTGGGGGATTTTTTTTGATTTTTAGGGGAATTTTGGGATCATTTTCCTGAATTTTAAGGGAATTTTTGGGGATTTTTAAGGGAATTTTTTGGGATCATTATCCCAAATTTTTGGGGAATTTTTGCGATTTTTAGGGGATTTTTTGGGGATTTTTTTGGGATTTTTTGGGGAATTTTGGGGGGATTTTATGGGAATTTTTTGGGATTTTTAGGGGAATTTTGGGGGGATTTTTTGGGAATTTTGGGGGGATTTTATGGGAATTTTTTGGGGATTTTTTGGGAATTTTGGGGGGATTTTTTGGGAATTTTGGGGGGATTTTTTGGGATCATTTTCCTGAATTTTTGGGAATTTTTGGGATCATTTTCCTGAATTTTTGGGGAATTTTTGGGATTTTTTTGGCAATTTTTGGGATCATTTTCCCAAATTTTTGGGGGATTTTTTGGGATTTTTTGGGGAATTTTTGGGATTTTTTGGGGAATTTTTGGGATCATTTTCCTGAATTTTTGGGGAATTTTTGGGATTATTTGGGGAATTTTTGGGGATTTTTAGGGGATTTTTTGGGGATTTTTTTTTGATTTTTTGGAAATTTTTGGGGGATTTTTTGAGGATTTTTGGGAAATTTTGGGGGGATTTTATGGGAATTTTTTTGGGATTTTTTGGGAATTTTGGGGGGATTTTATGGGATTTTTTGGGGAATTTTTGGGATCATTATCCTGAATTTTTGGGGAATTTTGGGGATTTTTGGGGAATTTTTGGGATAATTATCCTGAATTTTTGGGGAATTTTTGGGATTTTTTGGGGAATTTTTGGGATCATTATCCCAAATTTTAGGAGAATTTTTGGGATTTTTTGGGGAATTTTTGGGATCATTTTCCTGAATTTTAGGGGAATTTTGGGATTTTTTGGGGAATTTTTGGGATCATTATCCCAAATTTTAGGGGAATTTTGGGATTTTTTGGGGAATTTTTGGGATCATTTTCCCAAATTTTTGGGGAATTTTTTGGGATTTTTTGGGGAATTTTTGGGATTTTTTGGGGAATTTTTGGGATCATTTTCCTGAATTTTTGGGGGATTTTTTGGGATTTTTTGGGGAATTTTTGGGATCATTTTCCCAAATTTTTGGGGGATTTTTTGGGATTTTTAAGGGAATTTTTGGGATCATGATCCCAAATTTTTGGGGGAATTTTTGGGATTTTTTTGGTAATTTTTGGGATCATGGTCCTGAATTTTTGGGGAATTTTTGGGATTTTTAAGGGAATTTTCGGGATCATGATCCCAAATTTTTGGGGAATTTTTGGGATTTTTTTGGTAATTTTTGGGATCATTTTCCTGAATTTTAGGGGAATTTTTGGGATTTTTTGGGGAATTTTTGGGATCATTTTCCTGAATTTTTGGGGAATTTTGGGGATTTTTTGGGAATTTTTTTGGGATTTTTCTGGTTTTTTATGGAATTTTTCAGGGGGTTGGGGAATTTTGGGCAATTTTTGGGAATTTTTGGAATTTTGGGATGATTATCCCAAATTTTAGGGAATTTCTGGGATCATTATCCCAAATTTTAAGGGGATTTTTGGGATTTTTTGAGGATTTTTGGGGAATTTTGGGGGAATTTTTTGGGGATTTTTTGGGATTTTTAAGGGAATTTTTGGGATGATGATCCCAAATCTTTGGGGGATTTTTGCAATTTTTTGGGGAATTTTTGGGATCATTTTCCCAAATTTTTGGGGGATTTTTTGGGGAATTTTTGGGATCATTTTCCTGAATTTTAGGGGAATTTTTGGGATTTTTAGGGGAATTTTTGGGATCATTTTCCCAAATTTTTGGGGAATTTTTTGGGATTTTTTGGGGAATTTTTGGGATATTTTTGGGAATTTTTGGGATCATTTTCCTGAATTTTTTGGGGAATTTTTGGGATTTTTTGGGGAATTTTTGGGATCATGATCCCAGATTTTAGGGGAATTTTTGGGATTTTTTGGGGAATTTTTGGGATCATTTTCCCAAATTTTTGGGGGATTTTTTGGGATTTTTTGGGGAATTTTTGGGATCATTATCCCAAATTTTGGGGGAATTTTTGGGATTTTTTGGGGAATTTTTGGAATCATGATCCTGAATTTTTGGGGAATTTTTTGGGGATTTTTAAGGGAATTTTTGGGATTTTTTGGGGAATTTTTGAGATCATTATCCTAAATTTTTGGGGAATTTTTTTGGGATTTTTAAGGGAATTTTTGGGATCATGATCCCGAATTTTTGGGGAATTTTTGGGATTTTTTGGGGAATTTTTGGGATCATTTTCCAGAATTTTTGGGGGATTTTTTGGGATTTTTAAGGGAATTTTTGGGATCATGATCCCAAATTTTTGGGGAATTTTTGGATTTTTTTGGTAATTTTTGGGATCATTTTCCAGAATTTTTGGGGGAATTTTTGGGATTTTTTGGGGAATTTTTGGGATCATTTTCCTGAATTTTTTGGGGAATTTTTGGGATTTTTTGGGGAATTTTTGGGATCATTTTCCTGAATTTTTTGGGGAATTTTTGGGATTTTTTGGGGAATTTTTGGGATCATTTTCCCAAATTTTGGGGGGATTTTTTGGGATTTTTAAGGGAATTTTTGGGATCATGGTCCTGAATTTTTGGGGAATTTTTGGGATTTTTTTTGGTAATTTTTGGGATCATTTTCCTGAATTTTTTGGGGATTTTTTGGGATTTTTAAGGTAATTTTTGGGATCATTATCCCAAATTTTTGGGGAATTTTTGGGATTTTTAAAGGAATTTTTGGGATCATTATCCCGAATTTTAGGAGAATTATGGGGATTTTTAAGGGAATTTTTTGGGATCATTTTCCTGAATTTTTGGGGAATTTTTGGGATTTTATGGGAATTTTTTGGGGATTTTTTGGGAATTTTGGGAGGATTTTATGGGAATTTTGGGGGGATTTTTTGGGAATTTTGGGGGCATTTTATGGGAATTTTGGGGGGATTTTTCGGGATCATTATCCTAAATTTTTGGGGAATTTTTGGGATTTTTTCGGGAATTTTTGGGGGATTTTTTGGGATTTTTTGGGGAATTTTTGAGGATTTTTGGGAAATTTTGGGGGGATTTTATGGGAATTTTTTTGGGATTTTTTGGGAATTTTTTGGGGATTTTATGGGAATTTTTTGGGGATTTTTGGGGGAATTTTTGGAGATTTTTTTGAGGATTTTAGGGAAATTTTGGGGGGATTTTATGGGAATTTTGGGGGGATTTTATGGGATTTTTTTGGGATTTTATGGGAATTTTGGGGGGATTTTTTGGGAATTTTGGGGGGATTTTTTGGTATCATTATCCCAGATTTTAGGGGAATTTTTGGGATTTTTAAGGGAATTTTTGGGATTTTTGGGAATTTTGGGGTCTCACCGAACACCACCATGAAATTCTTGACGAGGGAGGCCCCAAACCCCCCAAAATTTGGGATTTTCATGGGATTTTCACCATTTTTGGGGGGATTTTTGAGGGATTTTCACCATTTTTAGCGGGAATTTTGGATTTTTATGGAATTTTGGGGGGAATTCTGGGAATTTTGGGGATTTCCAATGGGAATTTTGGGAATTTTTGGCTTTCCAGGCAATTTTTAGTGGAATTTTCACCGTTTTTCATGGGAATTTTGGCAATTTTTGTGGGATTTTCACCATTTTCAGTGGAAATTTTGGATTTTTATGGAATATTTTTGGGGGAATTCTGGGAATTTTGGGAATTTTGGGGTCTCACCGAACACCACCATGAAATTCCCAACGAGGGAGGCCCCAAACCCCCAAAATTTGGGATTTTCATGGGATTTTCACCATTTTGGGGGGGATTTTCATGGAAATTTCACCGTTTTCAGTGGGAATTTTGGATTTTTCTGGAATTTTTGGGGGGAATTCTGGGATTTTTGGGAATTTTGGGGTCTCACCGAACACCACCATGAAATTCCCAACGAGGGAGGCCCCAAACCCCCCAAAATTTGGGATTTTCATGGGATTTTCGCGGGATTTTCGCCGTTTTTCGCGGGAATTTCGGATTTTTATGGAATTTTTTTGGGGGAATTCCGGGATTTTTGGGAATTTTGGGGTCTCACCGAACACCACCATGTAATTCCCGATGAGGGAGGCGCTGTGGAAGGCTCGTTCCCGGGGTCCCTGCTGGGCCCACCCCCCAAATTCCCCCCGGGAGCGCAGGGAGCTCCAGTGGCGCCGATCCAGGTGGAAAAGATCCGAGGAGTTCACCCGGACACTGAACCTGCAACAGGCCAAAAACACCCGGAATCAACCAAAAACACCGAAAATCACCCAAAAACACCAAAAAAACAGCCAAAAACACCTCAAAAACACCCAAAAACAGCCAAAAATCACCCCAAAAACACCCCAAAACAGCCAAAAACACCTCAAAAACACCCAAAAACACCAAAAAAACAGCCAAAAACAGCCAAAAAACACCCCAGAAACACCCCAAAACAGCCAAAAACACCTCAAAAACACCCAAAAACAGCCAAAAACACCCAAAAACAGCAAAAAACACCCTATAACAGCCAAAAACACCTGAAAAACACCCAGAATCACCCAAAAACACCCCAAAATCACCCAAAAACAGCAAAAAAACACCCAGAATCACCCAAAAACACCCAGAATCACCCAAAAACACCCAAAAACAACCAAAACACCCAAAATCAATGAAAATCACCCAAAAAACACCCAGAATCACCCAAAAACACCCCAAAACAGCCAAAAACACCCCAAAAACACCCAAAATCAACCAGGTGGAAAAGATCCGAGGAGTTCACCCGGACACTGAACCTGCAACAGCCCAAAAACACCCAAAATCACCCAGAAACACCGAAAAAACACCCCAAAATCACCCAAAACCACCCAAAAACCACCCAAAATCACCCAAAAACACCGAAAAAACACCCCAAAATCACCCAAAACCACCCAAAAAACCGCCAAAAACACCCAAAAACACCCCAAAACAGCCAAAAACAGCCCAAAAAACACCCAAAATCAACCAGGTGGAAAAGATCCGAGGAGTTCACCCGGACACTGAACCTGCAACAACCCAAAAACACCCAAAATCAACCAAAAACACCGAAAAAACACCCGGAATCACCCAGAAACACCCAAAAACACGGAAAACCACCTCAAAAACACCGAAAATCACCCAAAAAACACCCAAAAAACACCCAAAATCAACCACGTGGAAAAGATCCGAGGAGTTCACCCGGACACTGAACTTGCAACAGCCCAAAAACACCCAAAATCACCCAGAAAACACCCAGAATCACCCAAAAACACCCAAAAATCACCCAAAAACACCAAAAAAACAGCCAAAAACACCTAAAAACACCAAAATCAACCAAAAACACCTAAAAACAACCAAAAAACACCCCAAAAACACCCAAAAACACCCCAAAAACAGCCAAAAACACCCAGAATCACCCAAAAACAGCCAAAAACACCTCAAAAACACCAAAAAAACACCCTAAAACAGCCAAAACCACCCCAAAAACAACCAAAATCAAACAGGTGGAAAAGATCCGAGGAGTTCACCCGGACACTGAACCTGCAACACCCAAAAACACCCAAAATCACCCAGAATCAACCAAAATCACCCAAAAACACCCCAAAACAGCCAAAAACAGCCCAAAAAACACCCAAAATCAACCAGGTGGAAAAGATACGAGGAGTTCACCCGGACACTGAACCTGCAACAGCCCAAAAACACCCGGAATCAACCAAAAACACCCAAAATCAACGAAAATCACCCCAAAAACACCCCTAAAACATCCAAAATCACCCAAAACCACCCAAAACCACCTCAAAAACACCCAGAATCACCCAAAAAAGACCCAAAAAAGACCCAAAAAAGACCCAAAAACACCTAAAAAACACCCAAAAACATCCCAAAAACACCCAAAAACACCTAAAAAACACCCAAAAACATCCCAAAAACACCAAAAAAACACCCAAAATCAAACAGGTGGAAAAGATCCGAGGAGTTCACCCGGACACTGAACCTGCAACAGCCCAAAAACACCAAAAATCACCCAAAAACACCGAAAAAACACCCAAAAAACACCCAAAAATCACCCAAAAACACAAAAAAACCAGCCAAAAACACCACAAAAACACACAGAATCACCCAAAAACACCAAAAAAACACCCAAAAACCACCCAAAATCAAACAGGTGGAAAAGATCTGAGGAGTTCACCCGGACACTGAACCTGCAACGGCCCAAAAACACCCAAAATCACCCAGAATCAACCAAAATCACCCAAAAACAACCAAAAATCACCCAAAAACACCAAAAAAACAGCCAAAAACACCTCAAAAACACCCAAGAACAGCCAAAAAACACCCCAGAAACACCCCAAAACAGCCAAAAACACCTCAAAAACACCCAGAATCACCCAAAAACACCCAAAAACAGCAAAAAACACCCAAAAACAGCCAAAAACACCTCAAAAACACCCAGAATCACCCAAAAACACCCCAAAATCACCCAAAAACAGCAAAAAACACCCAGAATCACCCAAAAACACCCAGAATCACCCAAAAACACCCAAAAAACACCCAAAAACACCCAAAAACACCCCAAAACAGCCAAAAACAGCCCAAAAAACACCCAAAATCAACCAGGTGGAAAAGATCCGAGGAGTTCACCCGGACACTGAACCTGCAACAGCCCAAAAACACCAAAAATCACCCAAAAACACCCAAAAAACACCCGGAATCACCCAAAAACACCGAAAAAACACCCAAAAACAGCCAAAAACACCTCAAAAACACCCAGAATCACCCAAAAACACCGAAAAAACACCCAAAAATCACCCAAAATCACCCAAAAAACACCCAAAAACACAAAACCACCCAGAATCAAACAAAAAACACCCCAAAAACACCCAAAATCATCCAAAAAAATCAAAAAAACACCCAAAAACACCCAAAAACGCCCAAAATCACCCAAAAACACACAAAAAAACACCCCAAAAAAACCCAAAAGCACCCAGAATCACCCAAAGAACACCCAAAAACACCCCAAAAACAGCCAAAAAACACCCCAAATCACCCCAAAACACCCAAAAAAACACCCAAAAACACCCAAAATCACCCAGAATCACACAAAAACACCCCAAAAACACCCAAAAAACACCCCAAAACACCAAAAAAACACCCAAAAATCACCCAAAATCACCCAAAAACACCCAGAATCACCCAAAAACACCCCAAAAACACCCAAAAACACCCAGAATCACCCAAGAACACCCCAAAAACACCCAAAAACACCCAAAAACACCCAAAATCACCCAAAAACACCAAAAAAAACCCCAAAACACCCCAAAACACCCCAAAACACCCAAAAAACACCCAAAAAACATCCAAAAAACACCCAAAAATCAACCAGAATCACCAAAAACACCCAGAATCAACCAAAAAAACACCCAAAAAACACCCAAAAAACACCAAAAAAACCCCCAAAACACCCCAAAACACCCCAAACCACCCCAAAACACCCCAAAATCTCGGTTACCTGGCTGTGGAGGGTCTGTGCCCCCCGTAGAGCAGCAGGCTGCGGGAGGGGGGGTGGAACACCAGGGAGAGCCCCCCAAAATCACCCCAAAACACCCCAAAAACACCAAAAAAAACCCCAAAACACCCCAAAACACCCAAAAACACCCAAAATCACCCCAAAACACCCCAAAATCACCCCAAAACACCCAAAATCACCCAAAAACACCCCAAAACACCCCAAATCACCCAAAAAACATCCAAAAAACACCAAAAAACACCCAAAACCCACACAAAAACTCCCAAAAAAACACCCAAAAACACCGAAAAACACCCATAAAAACACCAAAAAAACCCCAAAACACCCCAAAACACCCCAAAACACCCCAAAATCTCGGTTACCTGGCTGTGGAGGGTCTGTGCCCCCCGTAGACCAGCAGGCTGCGGGAGGGGGGGTGGAAGAGCAGGGAGTGCCCGGCAGCTCGGGGGGCTTTGCCCCCCCAGACCCCCACCCTCTGCCAGGGACCCCCCCCGGGCAGAAAGAAACGGAAAAGATCCGAGGAAAATTCATCCCAGGGGGTTCGACCTGGAAAATTCCCAAATTTTTTTGGGTTTTTGGGAGGTCGGGAAAGGGTTAAAATAATTTTTGGGGTGGTCGGGAAAGGGTTAAAATAATTTTTGGGGTGGTCGGGAAAGGGTTAAAATAATTTTGGGGGGTTTTTGGGAGGTTGGGAAAGGGTTAAAATAATTTTTGGGGGTTTTTGGGGCGGTCAGGAAAGGGTTAAAATAATTTTGGGGGCGGTCGGGAAAGGGTTAAAATAATTTTGGGGGGTTTTTGGGAGGTCAGGAAAGGGTTAAAATAATTTTTGGGGTTTTTGGGGTGGTCAGGAAAGGGTTAAAATAATTTTTGGGAGGTTGGGAAAGGGTTAAAATAATTTTGGGGGTGGTTGGGAAAGGGTTAAAATAATTTTTGGGGTGGTCAGGAAAGGGTTAAAATAATTTTGGGGGGTTTTTGGGGCGGTCAGGAAAGGGTTAAAATAATTTTTGGGAGGTCGGGAAAGGGTTAAAATAATTTTGGGGGTTTTTGGGAGGTCGGGAAAGGGTTAAAATAATTTTTGGTTGGGAAAGGGTTAAAATAATTTTGGGGTGGTCGGGAAAGGGTTAAAATAATTTTTGGGGTGGTCAGGAAAGGGTTAAAATAATTTTGGGGGTTTTTGGGAGGTTTGGAAAGGGTTAAAATAATTTTTGGGGTGGTCAGGAAAGGGTTAAAATAATTTTTGGGAGGTTGGGAAAGGGTTAAAATAATTTTGGGGGTTTTTGGGGCGGTCGGGAAAGGGTTAAAATAATTTTTGGGGTGGTCAGGAAAGGGTTAAAATAATTTTGGGGGTGGTCAGGAAAGGGTTAAAATAATTTTTGGGGGTTTTTGGGGTGGTCGGGAAAGGGTTAAAATAATTTTTGGGGGTTTTTGGGGTGGTCAGGAAAGGGTTAAAATAATTTTGGGGGGTTTTTGGGGCGGTCAGGAAAGGGTTAAAATAATTTTTGGGAGGTCGGGA